TTCATACGTATGCTGGGGTGGATCCAGCGCGTTGAACCTTTGCCATTGTCTCCACCTGTCGCGTGTTGGAAAAACGTTCAATCGATGAGTAAAAATACGAAGTACCATGAATTATACTTATACATTTTTCTTGCCAACGAAACGAAAATATACAAAAATGTTTGCGTCATCTACCTAATTATTACCGGAGTGCACGATTTCTTTTTTAAGAAAATCGTGTACGTCTAAAATTGTTGGTTATTAAATCAAGAAAAAGGGAGATCTGGTAAGAAAATTTCACACCAAAATATTTAACAAACACTTTGAATAATTTGACCACAAACGACATTTTAAAATTATAGTTGTCAATAATTTGTTAAATTTGTCTATAGTCTAGAGACGAAAGGAGTGTAGTTATTTAACTTGCAGAACGTAGTACAAGTACAAAAGGTAGACATTTTATTTATAATTAATCCTTCAATGCTTATTTGTAGTTAAAATGAAAATTTTAATACATCTGATCGGCCTAATTAAAGTTTTCCTTTAAATTTAATCATGTTTCTATAGTTTTTATTATAATAAACGTTTTGACAGATAAGTCAGACTTTATTTATTCATAGCCGTATCGTATGTAGTTTAATTAATTCGGGATTTTGCATTAATATATATTATAATTTTACGGTAATATAAGAATAGCGTGTGCATTAGAAAATATTGCAAGCACAAGTACGCGTAAACGTCCTAGTGGACATAAAGCATTATCTTTAGAATAAAAAAAATATCGTATTTAGTGTATTTAATAATATTCGAAAAGAAGAAATTACTTGTATTGTTAAAGAACTTCGAAAAAATTAATATCATCTAATAAATGTTAAGCAGCTACATGCTACATTATATATATCATCAAACTTTATTAATTTAATAAAAGAACAATCCAACCCCAAAAAACACTGAGCTATACTCGATAAATTATTAAATTAAAATCAATTTACTTATAGTATATTATGCAATGATCATGTAATAACCATTACATGAGAGTTGCATACGCTATTTTTTCTACACCCGATAAATAATCAAGAACTATAAATATTATATTTATAGTGGTATTGAACACATTAACAGTTATTACTCGTATTTCTATAAAAAATTCTACAAAATTGTAATTAATGGTATTACCTCGGGTATTGGTATTACCATAGATTTTTGGGGCAAAATATTTTGTACTGCATTTTCTCCTTTCTCCGATATGTGTGGAGGAGTCTTCTATATCGCTGATATCAGACATTTTGATAATATAATTATCGAAGTTTAGCTATCTACGAAAATTTAATACGTTTTGACAACTAAAACTAGGAACCTAGGATAAACGTCAAACAGCATACTTGATTGAAAAATTGTAGGTTTCTATTGATTAAAAATCTGTATCGTAATGAAAAATTTGTATCATAATGGGTATTATTATGAAACGGATTATGGGCATATAAGTGTGTAGAAAAAAGTTATTTAAATTAAATAAGAAATGAAATATTATTAATAATGATGAAATGAAATATACAAAAGTAATTTGGTTTGATTTTTAAAATGTTCTTCTTAAATCAAAAAAGAGACAGTGAAAATAATTCTATAAAAAGTGATGATAATTTAACTATAAGTTAATGTTCTTCAAATAAATCATATCTAACTAGAATGTGAATAATAATAAGTTATTTTCGTGGAATGTTCTGCTTATTGCATCAGACTGAACACATATCCCACCAATCAACCTGATTGTTTCAGAAACAAAATTTCTTAAGTTATTTGTAAAGCTATAACGATTTAATGAGGTTACACATAATACAAAGTTCTTTCTAATTATGGCCCAATAAAGGTATTGAAGAGGCGAGTTTAATTTTACCCACCCAAAACTATGGTTTCATTTATACTTTCAGCAAGTAATAAACATAGTTTAAGTAGTATGAATATTTATTAAATATATTAACATAATGGTATTTGTTTATTTTTGTCAATAGCTAATAAATAATTATAAATAAATTAAAAATCTGATGTGTCCAACACATGACTTTCCTATCTAGTTATTATAGGCTTTTTCCGGTTATTTTGTACAACCTATTGAAGCACCTCCATAAATGTTTAGAGGATAAACTAAATATATACATTTTCCACATACTTCTACCTCGAAACATTTTTCTATAGATATTTATTGAAAACGAAAATACTGAAAAATTTAAATTTAGCACTTTTCCTACAATTTTTCCATTACGGTCTACTTTAGAAAAATTATGTATAAACAAAAATTATAGAGACCGATATCGCAAACAACTTTTAGTTCAACAATTTTCATAAAAATCAGAATTTTGCACATTTTGTCAAATTTCTCGAATACGGACCATTTCAGGAAATTTTGACATAAAGCAAAAATTATAGATAATTATATTAGAAGTAACTTTTATTTGAACAATTTTCTTCTCCAAACATATACAGTATGGTTCAAATGAAAGGAATAAATTCATTATAGTGGAAGTAGTTGGTTTTTCGAAAAAATGCTCGGACAGGTCAATTTTTTTTACTCAAAGCGCAGATTTTTAAATAGAATTAAATTTTCCCCCACTTCCCATTTTTGGGCAGTGACGTCATTGACAATTTTTTTAAATAGTAACCCTAATTTTTTTTCTTGATTTTGTTAGATCTTGCAATTTCCTACTCGGAAATATAATATTTGAAATATCTTACATAACAATTTTTTTTCAATAAAAGTCATTTAAAGATTAGACACATAAATTTTATTTTATTTTGAGAACACAATAATTGATTAAAAGATAATTATTTGTAATTAAGTGCTTAATCTAACAAAATAATAATAATAATAAAAAAGAATTTGTGAAATTGTCAATAAATTCTTTTTATTATTATTTTTTTTTTTTTTTTTTTTTTTTAGATGAAGCACTTAATTACAAATAATTTTTTATTCATTTATTGTGTTTCAAAATAAAATAAAATTTATGTATCTGATCTTTAAATGACTTTTATTCAAAAAAAATTGTTATGTCAGATATTACAAATATTATGTTTCCGAGTAGGAAATTGTAAGATCTCTTAAAATCAAGAAAAAAAAATTGGGGTTACCATTTAAAAAAATTGTCAATGACGTCACTGCCTAAAAATGGGAAGTAGGGGAAAATTGAATTCTATTTAAAAAATTGCGCTTCAAGTAAACAAAATTGACCTGTCCGAGCATTTTTTCAAAAAACCAACTACTTCCATTATAATGAATTTATTCCTTTCATTTGAACCATACTGTATATTCCATAAAATATAAAAACGGCCTCCCATAAAGTACCCCCCCAGATGTTCCGACTTTGTCCAAAATCTTATCATTTCACGTCAGGCCGAAATAAAACTTAAGTTTAATATTTAATCTTTTTTTCTTTATCCATTTTTGAGTTTTCTTCAAAATTCGAAATTTACACATTTTTTCAAATATCTCGAATACGGTCCATTTTAGAGAAATTATGTATAGCATAAAAATTATAGAAAATTATATTACAAACAACTTTTATTTGAACAATGTTTATAAAAAAATACTTTTTTACATTTTGTCAAATTTCTCGAATACGGACCATTTTAGGAATATTTTGTATAGAACAAAAATTATAGATAATAATATTAGGAGTAACTTTTATTTGAAATATTTTCTTCTCCAAATGTAAATAACAGATATATTCCATAAAATATAAAAATGACCACATATAAAAGAATTATTTTCCCATTGATAGCAAAAAAATATAGGAGGAATTTAATGTGCATTTATATTCCAAAAGAAATGCAAATATTTTTTTTCCATTCAATTCATACCCAATTCTAAAAATTAAATCTAGATTTATATAAAAATAATATTATTTCTCATAAATATATCTAACATCTACATATCTAACAAAACTATTTTACCTGGAAAAAATTGTGTGCAAATGCCACCATTCTTTACAATTTTTCTACAAATTCTCCCCATTTCCTACAGAATTTTTCTACATTTCCTCACAATTTTCCACAAACAAAATTTGTTTTTCTATAAAGCTGTTTTTGAGCTATCGCGCCAACAAACAAGACAGACGACAGATGACAGACAGACCGACGGAATGAGGAAATATGTTTTTCGTAATCTAGGGACCCTGAAACGTAAAAATCTAAAATAATCTCGGAAGGTGACTTTTTCACGATGACAATACTTCCCCTTTATCGAGGGAAGTAAAAAAAGTTAGGTAATGCAAAAAATGGTAAAAAAAATTAAAAAAGCAAACTGAAGTAAAGCAGTCCATACACATGAAACTCAGTTAAAATACCTAATTGTAAGTTCCACTTTCTCATTTTCTTTTACAAAAATTCGTCTATTACAACTTACTTATTTCTTTTCATACTTAATCTTGCATTTCTTTAGAATTTGCTAATTTTTTGTCAAAAGTTAATCATATAAATATCCATCGAAACTTTAAGTACAAAACAATTAATGATTGGAAAGTAAAAATGAGAAACATAATTATGAAACATTTACTTAAATGAGTAAAAAATATTAAAGTCCATCAATAAACATTCATCCATTCTTCACAAATAACCCATTACGGTCACATCATTTATGATCAGAACTAGTTATAAGGGCTGCTTTGTTGCTAGGCAGAGACAAAAGGAGATAAATAGGTCTAATTAGTGATGGTCGAAACAATATCCTGCTGTCCTAAATCAACAGCGTTCTTATAATCCTCTGCTGATGATGACGCTTGATATAAATAAAAGGCGCTACATTATATTCCCTGCACAAAAACCCGTGTTTAATCTTGTCGTCACCTCGACTAAATCAAATGCGGGTATGGAACGGATCAACGCTTGTCTGACCGTCACCGTTTAAAACTATTTAAAATTATTTGTCACGAGAAAATATATGTTTGCACAACAGCTCAAAGGTATTTCGGTAAAACAAAACAAACTTTATTATTATCAAATAATTTATTAACATTTATAAATTAGTATTATATTCAGTCGTCTTCATCACCAGATTCTCCAAAGACTTCTTCATGCCTATTCAGTTGACTCGATAACGTTTTAATACTATCACACAACGTCTTAGAGTTCTGTCTTGAATCACTTTCTTCTTCCAACAATTTTAAATTAAACTTTTTTAAATCCTCTGGCATAGGTGGTGGAGGAGGGGGGATAGAAGGGGGAATAGGTGGTAGTGGAAGCAATTTAGTTGCAATAGGAGATAAATTATCTTCTAGGTGAGATAGAATACTTGCTAATTGAGGTACATTAACAGAATTGTCACTGGCTTCTAATGCCTTTAAATCAAATTGAGGTAAGTGTATGTCCTCTTGTTCGGTTTTTTCTTCTTCCACGCTGCCTCTTCTCATTTTAGCTTCTATAAATCGTTCATGTTTTTTTAAAGATTGCCGCAATTCTTTTAACATCAAACTTAAGTACGCACCAGAGTCGTCTACGTACGATTGTGGTTCATTTTGAGGAACGAAATCTTTATCTAAATAAAGTTCGTAATTTTCTTCTTTCGCTTGAATGTCGTCATCATGGTGTACAGTAACGAGATTATCATCATTTGTTTTTTTCGAATATTTAGTGACAATGTTAGTTTGATTATTAGGCAAATTTTGCGATGATAATATTCCATACAATTTACAAAGTAGATCCAAAGAATCATATGCAGCGTAGGTATGGTTTCTTAGATCTAAAAGAGCAGATTCCAATTCCGGAGTAAATTTGTCAGTAGAATTTTCAATTTCTTCAAAAATCCTGAATGATTTTTCTGAAATTATGGATATATTATCAACAGCTGATAACAACGTTTTTTGAAGTTTGTTCGAAATTTGTGGATTGGCCGTTTTTGATCTGTGTTCGCTTAACTTTGCTACTAAGTTTCTTAAAGAATAAAAACATTTCTTGGTATTATCGTAATGTTTAGTTAAAATATTTAAAAGATTTGGAAGAATATTATCCAAAAGAATATCAGCCTCCTTTTCAGTAAACGTTGCATTTGGTGAAAATATTATACCAATGTAGCTTAGCATTTTCGATGTTAACCATATGTGAATGTCTTGTATTTGTGATAAAAACTGTATGCAGGTAATCATAGTATCAACTTTTGGGAAATCATCCTGAAAAGGTTTGAAATCTTTGATTGCATTATAATCATCTGTCAAATTGTTGGAGTGTGTTACAAAAAATTCTAGATTCGCCATAATACTATTAAAAAAATTTATTTCGTTAACATAGTTTTTTCTTATAAAATCTTCTATATTTCTATTATAACTTTTAAAAAAATCTCTTTGACTTTTGTTTTCAATTTCTGATCTAGTTTTCATGTATTTTCTAATTGAACTGTACAATGAATTAATTTTTTTAGAAACGTTCACAATATTTTCCACAACCACTTTTTGTTTTTTCTTTGTTTGCGTGTTTTTTATTTCTAAAACAGCCGACACTGTCGTAAATAAAATTGGAGGTATAACAATCCATTTTGAATACTTCGCTGCTAATAATGAAGTTCCAATTAGACTTGCTAGACTTGACTTTAGTAAAAGAGATGGTTTATAGTTTGGAAATTGATGCAATCTATCACTGTGGTATTGATTAACCAGAACTTCCAAATCTTCGTCTAAAAGCAAGCCAGATTGACGGATAACTTCTGCAGATAAATCGAATAAGGCTCTGTAATATTCATTATCTTGAAGAGTATGTTTTAAGACAGCTGGATGCATGGTATTAATTCTGAAAATAAAAAAAGTTACTTAAGTGATTTAAAAATACTTTCAGTTTTATCATATTTCTTTTAAAACCGACAGAAACTGGCTTTTAATAATTGTTTTTGCATTTTATCTCGTTTTCATTGACTTACTAAACCCAAAATTTACTTCTGAGTGGCCATATTTTATATTTTCCCGTTTAAACCCAAACCGAACTACAGTAATCCTAAAATGGCAATTAAAACATGAAAAAAGTTTCTAAAAGTTTCACGTGCAAATATGTAACTAAAAATACTGAAAAACTCAAACAGCCAAACGAATTACAGATAAGCTCAAGTGTATATTTGGACAAAATTCCTAAAAGCCCTCTGCATTATTAAAGTTTATAATCAGCAAAAAGAGGTAATAAATGTTTAATCGAATGTCAAAACGCAACGTTCAGAGAGGTACATTTTTTATGTATTTACAGTATTTCACAAATATTGTAAATTATAAGTATAAATTATTTATTTTAAGAAGCTTAACAGGCCTTGAAGGCACAGAGCTTTGTCGGTAGATCTGCGTAAGTGAACTTAACAACCAAAACGTAACAATCCTTTACGATGTTGGTTATTAGGTTTGCAAAGAATTTTGTGCTAATTTTCTTCAATCTACTCTTCTACCAAGTGTTCTTCTTTTCCAGTCGTCATGTTACGTTATGTTAGGTATGGGGTATTAATACACAGTGACCTAAAAGACCTATTGCGCCCCCTTCTGTCACTAATGCAGCAAGGAAATGGTCTCGATGCCTAGAACGACACTTTCAATCATATTTCGCCAAGAAAGTATAGGATTTGGAGTGGCTCTAAGTTTGATAGATCGCCCTCTTCTATTTGGTATGCCCTTGGATTCTAGAGTGGTACACATTTAGTCAGAATGTGAATGAAGGTGTCCTTTGAGTCGACAATGCCCGGTAATTATCCTTGTTACATTATTCACTTTTAGCCTGTCTTACACCCAGGAGATTGTTCCAATAACCGGTTTTTCTACTGCCCAATTATTTTTTAATTTCTCTTTATATTGTGTTACTGCTGATGTTGCAGATTGGCTCAGGTCTATCTGCAATTTCGTTACCCTTTACCCAGTTATGTCCCGGAAACTAATTGAGAGTAACTGTATCTTCCTCGCCAAACTTATTTAGTTTTTCTAGCCATCTCCAGACCATTTTTGAGCTGATTTTTTCTCAAAGTTGAACTGGATACATTTTTCAATAGCGTGAATTTCCGCTTAAAAGATGCTTGAGTTTTTACCAAAACTTTGAGAGTGTCTGGTTCTAGGCCCATAAACCCTTACTCCAGTTTCTGCTATGGTTTTGGAATCATCTTTATACCGGTAAATATCATATCTTTCGGTTGCAAGCTGGATTCTTGGATCCATTCTTTTTTGTAGCCCAGCTATGTGGTTTTGAAATTTTTTACTGAGCTTCTTTCTCATTTCGTCCTGAGGCGTATCCCAAGAATCTTCGATCCTGATTCATTCCTGATCGTTTTCTATCATTAAATGTAGAGGAAGATGTTTAAAATTACCTCCATTGCAGCATGTAAACACAGGCTAGTCTTTGTACTTTTGAGTTATTAGCTTTCATAGTAGCTGAACTAGTACTGTTACTTCAGGCTACATATCCATAAGTGATGATTGGTCTCCCTATTGCTGTATACATCCATCGTAGAGTGTTCGGATTGCATTACTTTTCATACCTTTTATATCTCCCTCCATCCTTTTCTTATTCGTCTCAAAATTGAGATGTGAAACCTTCAATCTCGGATCTTTAGACGTTGCATTTTTTAACAAGTTAAGCATGGGTGTTACTCGTATATAGAATGTTTTGTATATACAAAAAAATATGTCCAGAACAAAACGTTACTAGAAACAAAAAATGTTTAAAGCTTCTTTTTTATAAGTTTTCGAAAAATTCTTATTAATATATCAGTATTCATCTGTACAATGCATTACCATTTGAATATAATAAACTAGGTTTAACCAAATTCAAAAATAAAATTAAAAGTGTTTTACTAAAGCAGTGTTTTTACTCTACTGATGAGTTTCTGTCACATTTTGGGTAGACTTATTTTAGTAAAATTTTAGTAATTATTATATGGTACGAATATAAGAAAATACTAGACTTCATTATGCCCTAGGAGAGAAGCAGCAATCAGCATTTTGCGCTCGTCAGGTATTCTCCAAACTCTGACGAATATCTTGTCAAGCAGAAAACATCTGTGAATAGATACACATCGTCAGTCACCCATACTCTAATCTCCAAGTGCTGATGCCGATGAACTCTACCCAACAGAAGGCCTGTCACAGGTAGAGAGATCTCAAACGTACAGTAATCGTATAAAACAAAGGTTACATGAATATCTGCCAACCTTCTAACTATAGCTGTAGTACTGTCCAATTCTAGAAAAACTTGGAGATAATGAAATCGATTTTCAACTGCATTTGTGGCTCTTGGTCAACCTTGTCCTGTCCTCCTTAAGTTAAAACCTTTGTATTGCATCATATTCTGTACTTCGAGAAATAGCCAGGACATTTTCGATATACCGAATGGTTTGGACATATTCTACTAAACTCATATTCAATTTTTCTCAAAACAACATTCAATTAATTAACAAGCATATTGAACACATGAGAGAACTTTCAATATTAAACAAATTTTCATCTGTTCAGATCTACCCATATCGGTACAACTTTTTTACTCTAATATTGAGGTAAGATAATTAGGGAAACAAAAAATGTTCATTTACTATTATTTACTATTTAATATATTTAAACGATAAACCTGTAGGCAAATATTTTATCATAAAATTTAGCTACAAATTAACCATCAACAATTTAAATCATCGGGTCGGTGGTGTAGCGGTCTCACGCGCTTATATTCATTTATAGACAAGTTTGTGGTCAGAGACAGACGGATTTGATGTGTGCCGTATTAATAAAAATTTAATTTCTGTTAATATGACATGCGGATTATAAAATCGCCAAGCACTACCGTCTCGATGATGGTGGGTAAGGTTTTCCGGGTTTTCAAATGGCACCATCAATCATCTTTAAGTCGCCTCGGAGCGCCACGGCTCAGCTTTTGGGGTTAAAATTCACTCGTAAGGGAGTGAATTAGGAAGAGAATTATTATTATTATTTACTATTATTAAGATCAATTTGTCAGTTTAACAAATTAAATAACTTTTAAAGATATAATTTTGGGGAAGTAAAAGTTACCTTCTTTTGGTATACAACTAGGTTAAATATATTTAATGAGTAATGGATAAGCCCATATAAATATCAAGTAGTCTGTACACTAATGAAATTTATTATTTTTTTTTTATTAGTGTCTTTTGGCTTCAACACCTAAGGTCATTAGCCTCGTGTTCTATGTAGGTTATGGATTGTACTAGTAGTCTAATACTCCTACATCCTTACAGACAGGCCTTGTTACTGTTTCCTTGCGCCACTTTAGGATTAGCACTGTTAATTAGAACCCAACAGTGAATGGTCGAGTGGAGAATCCTACCAAGGCATTAGAATTAATTGTAAATAATTAAATTAAATAAAAAAATCCTGGCCAACGGTGAGATTCGAACCTGATAAAAGTTAATAGAGCTTAGGAAAGTGATCTACCTGACTAACATTAGCAAATTTTAAAGTAAATAAGGCTGTAAATATTTCAATTTAATTACTTCTTTTCAAAATTAAGTAAATCAAGGTTTGTTGGATTCACTATTATGATTTAGCATTATTTAGTAAATGTTTTTTATATTTTGTAAAAATTTCTTAGTATTTAAATTTGATAACAGTGTAAGCACATTTTCATTCTAATTACTTAATTTTTTTATAAAAATATTCTCCATTAAAAAGAATCTAAGACTTTGGAATATATAACATTAACGGTTATGTCTAAATTTTAAAAGGAAACAAATTCAGCCATTTTTAGTTAATTTAAAATAACTCAAAAACTACATAACTTTTAATAATGTTGAAAATGAATCCGAGATTAGTCTTAAATCCTTTAAAACATTCCCTTTTAAATAAGGAAGTATAAATTAAGAAAATATCTAGGTGTTAAAAAATAGTGTAAAATATTTAAAAAGGCAAAGGTATAGACCAAAATAAACAAAAAAATCTTGTTAATTAGGTATGTCCGCAAAGTAGTGGTTTTGGAGATATGGTATTTATTTATTTATTTATTTATTTATTTATTTATTATGTTCAAACAAAGCAAGCTTTTGTCAAAAACAAAAAAAAACAAATTTACATAAATGTTCAAAGTACACTCCTTCCGTGATCATGCATGCGCATCTTTTTCTGAAGGATATTTGAACTCTTCCTAAAACTCCTCTCATTGGCTCGAATTTGTTGACATTTTTAATTAATTCGTAGCTGCAGGTACTGAAGGCTATTTACAGGCGTATCAAAACATCAGCCAACTATGGAAATGCGTTTTTGAAAAATTAAAATGGAGGTAAAAAAAGAATAACCTTCCATATGTTTGAAACCGTTACATTACGGACCTCTGTTTATTTTGGTCCATACCGTTACCTTTTTAAATATTTTACACTCTTTTTTAACACCCTGTATAATAATAGTACATAAAACAGGAATCATATATCTTCAATTTATATTAAATCAATTTTATCTGAATTAGTATTGTTTCATTTAATATTAATATCACTAAAACGTTCAAAACATAAAACTACGGTTATCAATTAACTAATCCGATTGCTCTTACCACTTTTAAAAATGAGTGTTACATTTTATTCATATCCAGAGATAAATGAAATAGGTGACACCTACGCCGACCACAGACAATCTATTCCGCAAATACACTACGAGAAAAGTGAGGTTATGAAACCTAACGCTACTACGACTACATTATTATACAAGTCAAATAAAATAAAAGAATGAATTAATTGACTTACCTTACTTAATAATGTATAAAGGGTAGCGTGTGCTATTCACAGAATACAATTACGCAATCGGTTATTTTAATAATTCCATAAAAATCTAAACATAGCCCACAGCCGGCGTTTCTCTGTCGTTATTTGTAAAATTGAAGGTCGGTCTACTGGAGCCGCGGTGATGCCAAGTTTAAGAAGTTTGGTTCATATTTCCTGAAAATATTAATTATACAATGGGCCATATTATTAAAACCGAAGCAAATGCTTTTACTTTAATTTTTTTCAAATTTTTAATTAATTTATCCCGGATTTTTAAAGATTTTTCTAATTTCGTGCTTGAATCAGTATAGGTATTAACATTAACATTAACAGATGAGCATGTGCATTTCGATTTTAAGCGTGCATAGAGCCGAAAATCGAATACTAAAAACTGCTTAAAATTGGAATGCACAAGCTCGTCTCTCGTGGAATTGTCGCTGACAGGCTCCTCGAACAAAGCTGGGGGTTATGATTGACAACCTGTGTTATTTTTAACAGGTCTGTTATTTTATAAACACTTAGAAATTACAACCTGTTCACAAATAACGTGTCTGTTAAAAATAACCCAGACAACACACCAAATCCCAGAGATATCCGCAGAATATCTTTTGTGGATATCCATAATATCCAATATATTCACAGGATATCAGAAATATTCCGTGGATCTAATATGGATATCCAAATGTCCGTCTATATCCAGGATATAAAAGATATCCTAATGGATATTCAGCAAAATATCTAATGGGTATCTTCCAGAAAATACAAGAAATCACAGAGATATCCACAGAATATATTTTGTGGATATTCAATATATCCAATATGGATATCCAACCAAATGTCCGTCTATATCCCAGGATATAGAAGATATTCGGATATTCAGCAAAATACTTTATGGGTATCTTTAGTAGAGGTTCATAAGTAACCAATGATTATTGAATAACGTCGAAAGAAAATAGCAGAGATAAAAAATATTTTCAACACTCAAAATATTTTCAACACTCTGCCTTTGATTTTGCCCACTAAGGAGAAAGTCGTCCTTATTAGGACTCTTCAGCAATAAATGAAAATTCTCGACTCCAGTCTTTAATGGAGTGATTAGAACACAAATTTCGATCGAACTCAATTACGGCGGGTCGAGCATGAGTAGATGCGATAGTGGTATCGCCATCTATACTTAGTAAGCAGAATCAAATAACATCTAGTGGATATCCACGATGGTTTGCGTTCGCGCCTAGACTTTGATATATTTAGTGGATGTTCATGGGATATTGAATACACCTTAAAAAAATTAATTTTAAATATCTGAACGGTACTATTAGCCACAATGGCGAGCACAATGGCGTAATTTTTAATTAATTTGCTATATAATTACTATTATTTATGGACATTTGCATGTCTATAAATTACATTTCATGGATATAAAATAGATATCTACCATGGACTGGACATTCAGTGGATATTGGGATGTTCAGTAGATATCCAAAGGATTTGGTGTGCTGTCTGGGAACATTACTTGTCGATCATAACCCCGATTATTGCCTCTGTTGGGTTATCACATCAGAAAATATCTAAGTTAGAAAGTTGATTTAGTTTTATTGATATGACCCATTTTCTTGACTTCGTAACAGTGAAAGGTAAAAAACTTTATGCAAAGATTCGTTCAAGATGTCCCTTAAAAACAATATTCTGCATCTTTGAGACAAGCATTAAAGATTTTTGGTAGTTGCTGTCGTCTGCGACATACCTTTATACAAACAAGGTGTCTTAAATATGTCAAAATCCTTATGCGATAGTTACTACTTCTCAAAACAAGATGATCTTTAACTTTTTGGGGTGGTATTGTTGGTGATTATGTAATTGGACCATATTTTTTTGAGGAAACAGTTAACAGTGAAGTTTATTTAGACTTTTTGAAGAATCAGTTGCCTATACTTCTTGAAAATGTTTCTCTTCGTATACGTCAACAAATGTGGTATCTACATAATAGGGCTCCAATACATCATAATCCAGTAATTCATGGTCAACTTGATGATCAATTTTCAGAACGATGGATAGGTAGGGGAAGACCAATTGAGTGGCCAGCTAGATCGCCAGATCTAACGAAAGTTGATTTTTTTCTGTAGGGGTATGTGAAAACTGAGGTTTATAAGATACCTGTAACTACAAAAGAGGACATAAAAAATAGAATTATAGGGTTGTTTTCCAAAACATTAGTATTCCAATGGCTAGAAATATGGGGAGGTCATTTGAATATCGGATACAACTCTGTTTAAATGTAATGTGAGGTCATTTTGAGCAGTTATTGTAATTATTTTGTTCTAAGTACTATTTTTAATTTTTTGTTCAGTTAATAGCTGTTAGTATTAAAGCCTTGTTATTTTTAGATTATTTATAATTAACGTATTTTTCAAGCTGTCAATTACCAAAAATATCGTTCTATTATTAAAAATCGAAAAAACTCTACGGCTGTAACATTTATGGAATGCTTAACAAAAGTAAAAGTTTTGAAAGAGTAAAACCAAATTTGGTAGATTTTCACACTTTTATTTTAAAAATAAAAAAAAAAAAAAAAAAAAAAAAAAAAAAATTTTTAAACAAACACTAACATGACATATGTTTCGAAGTACAACTTCTTTTTCAAATGTGACTATTTACAATTCGGTATCCAATATATATACAAAATAATTTAACAAAACAAAGTACTTAAGAAAACATCAATAACATTACAAAATAAACTAACTATTTAAAGTAAATAAGGGTACTTAGGTAATTATAATATCCATCAAATAACAATAAGATAGCCCATTACCGGGATTATCTCACAGAAAACTGGGAAAGAGGTTTAATAAGGGTGAATTATTAATATCTAATTGATCATTTAGTAAGTTATCTGAATTTTTAAATCTATTTATTTCAAGTGTTTCTAAATGGTTTAATTTAAGGCTCTTATTTTCTACATGTAAAATTTCAAAGTTTGAAATTTTACATGTAGAAAATAAGAGCCTTAAATTAAACCATTTAGAAACACTTGAAATAAATAGATTTAAAAATTCAGATAACTTACTAAATGATCAATTAGATATTAATAATTCACCCTTATTAAACCTCTTTCCCAGTTTTCTGTGAGATAATCCCGGTAATGGGCTATCTTATTGTTATTTGATGGATATTATAATTACCTAAGTACCCTTATTTACTTTAAATAGTTAGTTTATTTTGTAATGTTATTGATGTTTTCTTAAGTACTTTGTTTTGTTAAATTATTTTGTATATATATTGGATACCGAATTGTAAATAGTCACATTTGAAAAAGAAGTTGTACTTCGAAACATATGTCATGTTAGTGTTTGTTTAAAAATTTTTATTTTTAAAATAAAAGTGTGAAAATCTACCAAATTTGGTTTTACTCTTTCAAAATTAAATGGATTTTCATCAAGTAAAGGCCGAAACAATAAATAAAAGTAAAAGTATTTTGTAAGTAGTTTATAAAATGATATAGAATATGATATTTGAAGTAATCGAGAAAATCATGGTCGCGAGTTTTGGGTTACCCTGTATACAAAATGAAAGATATCAAAAACATGATGAGTTGCAACAAAAGTAGACTGCTACGAAATTATTCTGGCTTTTAGATATTAACCCTCAGTTGTTGATTCTAATTAATACAGGGTGACTTTGGTATGCTGTGACTTTATGGAACACCCTGTATATTACGAAATTATTTTAAAATGTGGAGCTTGACTCTATCTATAATTTGTATTTAAAACTTTTGTTCGTATCTCAAAACAACGGAGATATCGACCTCCGGAGTATAAGTTGATCACCCTGTATAGACCGGATGTTCGGAATACTTTGGATAGTTTTTAGGCTATATTTTCAATAAAACAGTTGGCCATTCTAATTCACAATTTATGACAAACTAAAAAATTACTTTTTAAATTTGTCTTTCTTTAAAAAAAAAATTATTTATAGTTATCTGATATTTCTAATGTCTTTAAAGTGAAAATCTCCATTTTTATTTTATTTACAAAAATATATAAATTTTTCTTGCAAGATATAAAGCAAACGAAAGGTGTTTTCAAACTCTTGGCAACGTTGTTTTATCGAACGCGGTCGTGGCAGGCGGAAAACAGCTGATGATCGCGCGCTTACTTCGATCGCGTTGTTTATTTGAACTTTCGCTTGTTTTATTTAATCCATTGTCGAAGGTATCTACCTACCTACTTACAGGCATATAAAGATTTTTTAAATTTAAAATACATCGGCTGCTAGTTTATCGTTTATCGAGTACTAGAGGCATTACCTACACATTTTATAGGTATCTACCATTCTGTTATTGATTTTGACATAGGTATAGGTACATAGGTACGTTTTGATTTTTTTAATGTTATTTTCACTTCGTGAAAAATAGTTTGAAGGTGTGTAATCAAATTGTTTTTAATTTAACTATTAAAGAGCTATACTTTTAAATACATACAATCGTTTTAACTTTTCTTATTGGTTTTCTACCTATCTCTCCTGTTTCGTTGGATATAATTTAGCCAAAGTGATAGATAGCTGTTTTCTAGAAGGAAATGGTCGCTTTTGTATTATTTTCTGACGCATGGCTTTGTTTTTTTTTTTCTTTATGGTTATATTTGACTTTGGAGTTATTTTCCTTATACTAATTTTTTTTACTTATTTAAGAAAAAATTATCTGTTAGTTATTAATAAATAGAAACTCGAAATGTAAGTACATGTTACTTTTTACATCTGTTACATCTCTAACATTTTCCAATAAAGTTCCACGCTTAGAAATTTAAAGTCTTTTAACATTGCGCATTTTTCTGCTGAATTAGAAGCAGCTAACTTTGATAAAAATTTTCATTTAGGTACGACAATTTTTCATTAACGGAAGAACTAGAAATCTATAGAACTATATTATCGTTAAAGTCCAAAGCTGTTGGGCCAGATCTTTTAAGTGTTAACATGTTACTGTACACTTTTCCATTTATTTTAAAATATATTTGTCACATTTTTAATACTTGCATTACCCATAATGTTTTTCCGTTTACCTGGAAAAAATCCATCCACTGCTCAAACTTGGTAAACCGTTAGATTATAAATCACTTCGCCCT